GCAAGCAAACAAATAAATAATGCTCTTGGGCCAGCACCTGCCACCAAACCTGATCTCCTGAGTTCTTTTTTTGTTGTTGTTGTTGAAAAAAAATTTCTGCCTCCTCCCCATTTCCCATTTCCCTCCCCCTCCTCCCACACATTGCCCCCTCCCTCCACTCCTCTCCCCCTCTCCCCCTTCCCCCACTCCATTCCCCCTCCCTCTCGAGAATGAAGAGCAGTCCAGATTCCCTGCCCTGCGGGGAAGTCCAAGGTCCTCCCACTTCTATCCAGGTCCAGGAGGGTGAGCATCCAAACAGGCTAGGCTCCCACACATCCAGTTCATGTATTAGGATCGAAACTTAGTGCCATTGTCCTTGGCTTCTCATCCGCCTTCATTGTCCGCCACGTCTCCTGAGTTTTAATCCTGGTGCACACTTGGTGGAAAGAGAGAACTGACTTCCTGAAGTTGTCGGACCTCCACACTCCAGCCAGGTACTTATCCCGCATACACAGAGACATTCACACAAATAAAAGTGGTGTACGCCTTTAACCTCAGCACTCAGAAGGCAGAGACAGGTAGATCTCTGTAAATTCCAGGCCAGCCTGGTCTACAGAGTGAGTTCCAGGATAGGCTTCAAAGCTACAGAGAAAATCCTGTCTCAAAAAAATGATTTAAGAAAAATAAAATAGTGTTCTTGTTATTGTAAACAAGGTAGGCTTGGTTGCACAAGCCTGTATTCCCAGCAGTCAGAACAGGACTGGGATAGTTCAAAGCCCACCCCAGCAACAAGCAACAACCCGTGTCCCTCAAAAACAAAAAGCAAACAAACCTTTACCTGGGTGTGTGTGTGTGGCTCAGTTGGTAGAGTGCTCACCACGCATGCAGGAAGTCCTGAGTTTGATCCCCAGCGCCAAGTGCCACATACTTGACATCACAGCACTCAGGGGGTAGGAATTGGAGGACCAGGACAAGTTTAAGTTCATTCTCAGCAAACACAGACCAGCTTGTGCTTCATGAAACCCTGCTGAGCAAGAGACAAAAAAAAAAAAAACCGAAAACTGGGCAGTGTGTTTGGGCTGGGCTGGGCTAAATCGAGAGAGCCTTGGAATTGGTAGCAGAGGAAGGACTCAGTGAGAAATCAGCCCCTGTGGCTGAAGGATAAGGAAAGACAAGGAACAAATGTGGCAAGCATCAAGAGCAACACATAGGTCTTTTTTTTTAAGATTTTATGTGGGTGAGTGTTTTGCCTGCATATATGTGTGAACACCACACATGTGTGGCTGGTGCCCACAGAAACCAGGTGGTTGAGAGCCATCATGTGGATGCTGGGAATCAAACCCCAGTCCTTTGCTCCTTGTTTGGAGACAGGGTTTCTGTGTGGCCCTGGCTGTCCTGAAACTCACTAGGTAGACCAGGCTGGCCTTGAACTCCCAAAGATCTGCCTGTCTCTGTCTCCCGAGTGCTGGGATTAGTGATATGAGCCACCGAACATAGTTTTATGCCTGCCATCTTCTTTGTCTTGCCTTGAAGTTCTCAGAACTTCAATCATCCGGCTTCCCACCAGGGGTTATTGTGCCTGTAAACAGCCTTAAGTGGCTGGACCATGGCTGGGGAGAAAACAGAGTCATTCATTCGCTCGATCACTGAAGCATGCGCCACCTCAGCACACGTCAGCAAGTAAGGTCCTGCTGTAGATGCAGGGAAGGTACAAGAGCGAACAGTTCCTGGCTGTGTCGGAAGTTACGTAAAGCAGTGGTCCGTAGACGTTTGATGCTTGGAGGACTCTGTTTTGGAATACTCCTCAGGTGGGCTCAGGGGCTCGGGCCTCTGATCTCTGCTAACAGAAAGGCTGAGGCAGGAATATCATGATGTGCCTGGACAGCCTGGGTTACACAGTGAAGCCTCAGAAAAAGAGAAAGCTGGGTACAGCAGTGTCCTCTTTCAACCCCAGCACTCGGGAGGCAGAGACAGGAGGATCTCTGAGAGCTTGAGACCGCCTGGTGTACATAGCAAGTCCCAGACCAGCTAGGGCTTATGCAGCGAGACCCTTTCTCAAGAAGGACAGGGGAAGCCAGGTGGTGGTGGCATCGAGTCTCAGGTCAAAAAGGCTACATTTCCAGACCCTGTCTTAAAATAATAATAATAATAATAATCATAAATAGGAGGAGGAACGGGGGCATCAGGGAGGAGGGTGGGATGTGCCTCAGAGGTGGAGCACTGAATCCTGAATAAAGCTTATCACCCCCTTGGGATAGGAGGGTACTTTCAGTACCAATTTGTTTGGAACTGTGCAAATGTCTGGAAAATGACTTTTTGGAGAGGGGGCAGGTTGAGACAGGGTCTTTCTATGTAGCTGAAAATAGCTATTGTGTGTGTGTTTATGTATTTGTGTGCAAGAGCGCGTAGTATCTGATGAACTTCCATCTGCTTCCAAGTTATATTTTGAGACAGTGTCTCTTACTGAACCTATGGTTTGTTGATTCAGTCAGGCTAGAAAGCCCCAGGGTCTACTTGTCTCTAACTCTCCAGAACTATTATTACATGCAGCTTTATTTATTAGATTTATTAAGATTATTAATAAATAATTATTAAGCCAAGATTTATTAAGCTGAGTTGGATGGTGGTGACAAACCCCTTTAATTCCAGCACTCGGGAGGCAGAGGCTATGAGTTCAAGTCCAGCCTGGTCTACAAATCAAGCCCCAGAACAGCCAGGACTATAAGGAGACACCCTGTCTTGAGAAAAGAAAAAAAGATTTACTTTGTTTTTAGGTGTTTGAGAGTTTATGTATGTATGTGTACCATGTGTGTGCCTGCCTGGTGCCTTCATAGGTGAGAAGATGTCAGATCCCCCGGAACTGGCATTACAGTTGGCTGTGACACCATGTGGGTGTTGGAAACAGGACCTGGGTCCTCTGCAAGAGCAGCTAGCGCTTTTAACCACTGACCCATCCATCCTTCGAGCCCCCATGCCAGGCTGCTTATGGGTCTTAGGGATCCACGCTCAGGCTCTAATCCTTACTAATCACTGACTGCAACAGCTCCTCAGCCCTGCGTGTCACTTTTTGCCTGTACCCAACATGCAGAATCGAACTCCCTACCTTCGCAACAGTCCTGGTTGAGAAAGACAATGGCGCAAATCACGTAAATCATAAAAAACTCGAGAAAGTGCTGTCGTGCGGAGTTGGGCTCAGCATGGATGAGGCTTTGAGCTCGCCCACTATCTCAACAACAATAAAGAAAGCAAGGTTCTTGCTGCTTCTGACCCAGGTGAGAAGACCTGCGAGGCCAGCGTCACCCCTTGTCACCCTTGGTAACATTCCTACCCATCCCATTTCTCCTTGTCATATTGGAAGTCGTGGGCATACTGTACTTAGTGTGTTTGCTGTCTCCCCGAGGTGTGAGCTCCGGGTAGACTGCCTGCTTGGTTCTTTACCACTTGTTCTGGTACAGTGTCTGATGTCGCTGGCTCTTGATAATATTTATTTTTTAAAGTATTCTGTGTGTGAGTGTGTTCCTGGGTGTCTATTTTGCAGGAGCCCTTGGAGGCCAGAAGAGGGCATCAAATCCCCTGGAACTGGAGTTACAGATGGTTGTGAGCCACCATGAGGTGCTGGAAACTGAATCCAGTTAAGAGCAGCCAGTGCTCTTAACTGATGAACCATCTCCTCTCCAGGTCTCCCCTGCCTCTTTTTTTTTTTTTTGGCTTACCTTGAACTTTCACCTGTCCTGCTGTCTCAGCCTCAAGTATTGTCTTTGCCAGCCACTTTGGGCACTGAGATGCATTATGCCTGCTTTTTTTTAATGCTATTTATTTATTTATTATGTATACAACATCCCTACCATGTATGCTTGCATGCCAGAAGAGGGCACCAGATCTCATTACAGATGGCTGTGAGCCACCATGTGGTTGCTGGGATTTGAACTCAGGACCTCTGGAAGAGCAGTCAATGCTCTTAACCTCCGAGCCATCTCTCCAGCCCTCATGACTGCTTTAAAAAAATAATTAGTGTGTGTGTGCATGTGCATGTGCGTGTGTGTACTGGTGCTGTGGCACATGGAGAGGTCTGAGGGACACTTGCAGGAGTTGAGACAGAATCAGGTCCCTAGGCATAGCAGCAAGCCCTTTTAATCAATGGAGCCATCTCACCCTTCCAGGCTTTATTTGTTTGTTTGTTTTAAAGCAGGGTCTGCAGCTCAGCTTGTCCTGGAACTCAGAAACTCACTTCGTAGCCCATGCTCACCTTGAATTCCTGAACCTCCTGCCTCCACCGCCTAAGCACCAGGGTTACAGGCGGTTGACAGCACTCAATGAATACTGTGTGCTGGAGGAAGTGAATTCATGAATGACTGAGGGAGGTAAACTAAATATTCAAGAGTTAGGCCCAGCCGGGCGGTGGTGGCGCA